GATAACAATTACTCACTATTGAATCGTAAGAATCTTATCCCCATCTCCTTTCATCAGACCCATCTAGACAAAACAAAAATTATTCAGCTGGGATTCAACCTTCTCATCTTGCTTGGAAATAAAACTCCCTCTTAAAAATTTGTAAGTCAGCCACTTCATGCCTTTGTAGTCACCACTTTAGTTATCTAATGTCTATGTTGCCCATCCCTATCTACCCTGTGTACACAAGGGATATGGTTGATTCTTGATATGAAGACTCCTTCACTCTCAGTTGGTATTTTCAGCTACTACATCCCTAAGGATAAGTCAAGTTCTTCACATTGTAGCAATTTACACTTATTTCCTTTGTCAAATTTCTTTATTTTCCTCTACTTGAGTTCTCATCATCAAGTCATCAAAGCTAGGTCAAATGGATATTATCTGCAAGTTTGGATGTTCTTGTGTGTCTCTACTCACTTCATATCAGCTGGATGTTTCATTCTCAGCTCTAGCCCTCTGTGACAAGGTCCTTGTTTATGGGCTTAGGAGTTCTCAGGTCTCCCCACATTTCAGACCAACCAGCCATTCCTCTTCTGTCTTTCATCTGCAGGCTGACTGGAGTCTATGGAATGTGGTTGAACTCAGCCCATATCTTCATTGCTGCCTTTCCCCCTCTTCCACTCACCAGTAGACCAACATGATCACCAGCAGGCTTACATGCCTGCTCGTGTGTTCTCTTTGAATGTGAAGCTTAATTAAAGATAGGGGGGGAAAATCTTAGTTAGCTACCAGTGGTGGGAGAGTGGGGACAGTAGAGCACAGGTTAGGGGATAGAAACCTCATAGTTCAGGTGTTGGGGAGGGCAATACACAAGAAGGGGCAAGGAAATGGAAGAATAAGGTAAACAGGGGAACACTTAGGCAGGTGTGTATGGGCTAAATGGGACAGAGGTAAATAGTGTATGCTCAACCTTGGAACAACAGGGATCAAAGCATAGTCTGAATAAGTAAAAGAGGGGAAATAATATTAAGATGCTTTACCATCTTGTGAATGTTGTTTTCCCTTGTCTACTATTGTAAAATAGACGCTTGAATGTGATAGAATGGAATATTGAGAAACACAATTTCAGAACATTTGTAAACCCATCTTCAGCCTATAACTGATTGGCATATATAGAAGGGGTTCTAGAACTTCAGTGAAATAGGCTTCATGAAGAGCCTTTGCAGTGTATAGGACCTTAGGTTGAATCCTGAGTCCTATACAGAACCTTCTGAGGTGGGACATTCCCACTTGAAAGGACATGCAGACCAGTCTGGAGTGGCTAGAGGAGCAGAAGATACTTCTTGAAAGAAATGTTAGCAGGAAAAATCAAGGAAGAACCCCCACAAAAAACCAGCAGTCTGATTGGCTACTACAAAAACAATCAAGTTGTTCACTGGAGAGTCATCAAGGCATGTAAGTAAATCCCTTCATGACAAACCAGCCTCCAAGACAGAAACTCAAAGAAATCCACTAAACTTTTGATGACCCATCATATATGAAAGTAATTTCTCCGTTTTTTTCCTCAAGGCTCTATGGCCATTTACCTGAGTAGCTGTGAATGCCTAGATCTTTTAAAGGATGTTGGAGCTATGATCTGAACTAATATTGATACCCAGAAACCCAAATTGGCATTGTGGTTCCCAGTTATAGTGAGATTATATGGAAGGCAGGCATTTAAGGTAGTTCTAGGCCAAGTTCATCTGTGTGTGGCATTGTAGGATAAAGCACTAGATCATAAGGTCGCCTTGAAACAAATAAGTTGGTGGTTCAAACTCACCAACTGCTTCGTAAAAACCCTATGCAGGATGACTGAGTCAGATCCCACTCGACAGCTCTTAACAACAACAACAGCCCACAATGACAATGTTTAATATCCTACTATTACAGTTATTAAATGCCGTCTAGTTGGTTCTGACTCATAATCTCACATTTTGTGGACGTAGAAAGCCTCATCTTCTTCTGTGAAGCAGCTGGGGGCTTGAACTGCAGCGCTAGTGGTTTGTAGTGCAGTGTTTATCCTACAGAGGATCACGCTCCCATATCCTTCTTTGGTGGTGGTTGTATGCTGTGAAGTCAGTTCTGACCCTGTATAGCGTTTCTACAGGAGCAGAAAGTCTCATCTTTCTATTGTGGAGTGAATGGTAGATTCAAAGTGCTCATCTTGGGGTTAGCAGTCCAGTGCATAACTGACTGGCAAAGTTCTTTATGTCCTACTATGTTGTTGTTTGTAAGAGCTATCAGGTCAGTTCTGAGTCATAGTGAACCTGTATAGGATTTCCAAGGAGCAGCTGGTGGATTTGAACTGCTAACCTTGCAATTTACAGTCCAGTGCTGCAATTTGCAGTCCAGGACTATGCCTGATTTCCTCTGGATTCAAAAGGATGAAGGAGAATGAAACTTAAAATAAGCCCAAGATAGATTCCTATGAATCAGAAGTGAGCTATGCCTCTACCCTACAACCTTCTTTGCCCTATTGTGATAACTATCTCTCCCCCACAGCACTCTCTGCTTTATAACTGGGTTCCATAATCCATTACAATGGCCAAACAGAAATCATTACAATACTCACGATTATAGGGTTTATTAGGGAAGTGAACAGGGTACAACTCAGGATGCAGCTGTTCTCAAGTCAGAAATGCCTTTTGTTGGCCATACTGCAGACATGCCTCACTCCTGTTTTCAACCTCTCAGCCATGTGGCCCCATGGCCTCTACCCTGCTCAGGCTAATGTTACCAAGTATCTTTACTCAGTGTGTAAATGTCCAAAGGGCACAGTCTACAAGGCAGCCTCCTACCCTGGGCACTCAGCTTGATTTGACCCATGGGCCTGGATGCCTGCAGCTCCTCCACGTCGCTGCCTTTGCCACGGCCTTTGCTGTTGCCTCTTTTCTAGGTGGGGATCTCACACTCCACTCATCCTCTTCTTTCTTGATGGTCCTGGGATCATCTGTCCCTGCTTCTGAGATGGCTCCCTTCAAACCTAGAGGGATGGCAAAATTAACCAATTCCAGCCAAAGAGTTCTGTACACTTTATTTGCATGGACCCACCTGATCACTTGGTGGGAATTAAGTAGATATTGGCTAGAATGACCCTATCAAGTAAATTCAAGGAACCACAGTACCTTCTCCTCCAGCTCCACACCAGGACTCCATATCCTACTATGCTGTTGTTAAGTGCCATGACATCAGGTTTGACTCATAAAGACCTTGTGTAGTGTTTCCAAGGATCAGTTGGTGAGTTTGCTTCACCTACCTTTCTGTTAACAATCCAGTGTGTTTTCTACAACAGCACACCAGTACTCCTATCTTACTATTTGTTGTAGCTGTTACAAGTGCCGTTGAGTTGGCTCCGATTCATAGCAATGCTGTATAGGGTTTCCAAGGAGTACCTATGGTTTTGAAATGCCAACCTTGTGGTTCAAAATCTAGTGCTGATCCTACAGTGAGTCTTAAAAGCTTGCAAGTGTCCATCTAAGAAGCAACTGTCAATCACTAGCCACCAGAAGCAAAGAGTGGCCAGAAAATCATGGTTGCTTTCACTCTCTTTATCCTCTCACCTTAGGACACTGGAGGCAAACATAGTCAGGAATGCACAAGAGAGCAAATATACTGAAACCCTATCTTTCTAGCCAGAGCACAGAATAGCAGAGGGCAATGCGTCTTTTTTCCAGTTTTCAGAATTGGAAAGTGTTGGGGAGATGGCTTAGAGGAGGAAAAATAAAAAAAGTAATACCATGCACTGGATGTTTGAACTGTATTTTCTATTTGAAAAGAAACCTCCCAGCCTACTATAGGGGGCACTCAAAAAAACACGGGGTGAATCAGTGAGGCCTGGGCTCCTTCCTGAGTCCTACCCCATTACCTCACCGCCAGCACCACACCACTTCTGAGTAGACAACTTGGTCATTTTCTAAAACAGATTCTCAGTTACTGCTCCCTGCCTGTCTGGTCAGTTAGGAAGACCAGCGCTGCTAACCATCTGTCTTCTACACTGAGAATGACGTTTTTTTTTTTGTTTTTTTTTTTTTTTTAGTAAGACTTGAATTTGCTAAGGGTTAATCTCTTCTTACTTGTCACATCTGGTTCCCTTTTCTGCTAAGGTCCAATAGGGGAGGAAATGCTGTGGTCTGTAGCTCTCCTTCTAGCTTTCTTGGCTTTTGGTAAGTGTGTTTCACGGTTGCTGAAGGGATTTTTTTAAAAAAGGTCTATACTATGAAATAACTAATTTTTTTTTTTTTTTTTTTATGTTCTCCTTACAGGAAGTCAGAAAGCTTCCAACATGGAAATGAGACAGAAGTCAATCATCAGGCCAGCTGAGGCATCGGTTGCAATCACTTGTGATCTGCCTGATCAGAGCACCAAATACATTCACTGGTACCGATACCAAGAGGGAAGAGCCCTGCAACGCCTCCTTTACTACTACTTCCGTGAATCAAAGGCGCAGTTGGACTCAGGGTTCAGTTCAGAGAAATATCATGCTTATGAAGGTACAGGGAGGAGCTGTAAATTTATGCTCAGAAATCTGGAAAAAAGTGATTCTGCTGTGTACTATTGTGCCACCTGGGACTTTACACGGTGACTCAGGTCTCCTCTGTCCCACACTTAAAATTTTTTCTAGTGGTTGCCAACAGCCCTAGTACATAAGACAGACCAGCTCTTGTCTCTTCACTTCCTGCCCCTGACTTCACTGTACTCTTAACAATAAGGAACTGTGAGCTCAACACCTACCCCTCAGCCTTCCATCTTCTAAGCAGCTAGAACCCTCCCTCACACCCTGGCACCATTGCATCCCGTTGTGTATGAGCCCATCATGAGTCGGAACCGACACAACAGGAAGTAGCACAGCAAGATAGGTAGGCTGGTTTATTGAATCGTCTATCTGGTCATTGTTGTACAGTGCCATTGAGTCAGTTTTGACTCATAGAGTTTCTGAGGAGTGGCTGGGGAGTTTGAACTGCCAACCTTGTGGTTCAAACTGATCTTGCGGTCCAGTGCTTATCCTACAGTGCCACATCAGGAACCCATCCAGTCATTATCCAGAGATGATGGCTGGAAATGGTTTGTATTGGTTGCTGAGGAGTATGGAAAATAATAGAATGAAATATTTGGACTTCATGAAGACTTCCAGTTGGTGGCTTTTGGGCAAACTGGTATGTTCTACATCTTAACCAACCATGGTACTACTGGCATGATTAGGAATCTAAGAAAAGGTGAAAGATGTCCAACTGTTGTCCCCTACTTACATCGTCTTTGGGGTAATCTGTCCTAGCTCATAGCCAGAGCTGTTTTGTTTCAACATGCGAAACTTGATTCCCTTCCTCTCACCCAACATTGATACAACCAAGTTATAAACTGTAGCTAATTCAGCTTTTTCAGCTTTTTCCCTAATAATTAAAACTAAGACTCACTTGGGCTAATAAACAGATAATGAATAGTATGCATTTATTATAGCAATCAATTAAGTAATAAAGGCAACCACAGAGCTCCAGTCTAAGTGATCTACAGTGATGTTAACAGACCCAGTGTGCTTAGAGGCAAGATAAAAGTTGAAGCAACATGGCATACCTTTTCAATATCATTAGAACATGTCAAGACAGAATGACAGTCTGATGCCAGCAGTCCCAGTTCTCAAATCCAGAGTCCCTTGAATGAAAGAGATTCTTGGTTCCCCAAAAAGTTCATGGAGAAATGGAATTAAATAAAATGAAAAATTTCGACTAAATTTTCAAAAAGAGTTTATTGTACATTGAGTGATAGTTTACATGGGAGAACATCAGTTTGTAGTCATCCTATCATATTTCATATCATTGTAATGATTACAGTCCCCTCCATTCATCACCATTCAGTATTTGCTTCTATTACCACTGGCTTTGTTTTATTTTGTTGTTGTTTTTGTTTTTGATGTACACAAAAACACTCAAGAATATATAACCATTTAAACAACCAAAGGGCAGATTCTGGAATTCTGCCTCTTGATTTCCAGCTCCAGACTTTTTGTTTCCATGAGTCTAGAATCCTCGACTGCTCTCTCTCAATGTCATCATCTATGCCTCCATCTCTGGTGCCACTGCTTCTCTGGATAGGGTCCCACATTCTGATCATGCTCTTATCCCTTGATGGTCCTAAGGTCCTTTATTCCTGGAATGTAAGTTTAACTACTCTCCCCTTTATGTTACAAAACTTCTACTTTTACAGTTGAGACAATCACAATTAGTCATCATAACAATTACTCACGATAGAATCATAAAAATCTTATCCCCATATCCTTTTACCAGACTCATCTAGCCAATATGAAAACTATCCAGTGGGGATTCTATCTTCTCCTGCATCCTGAAACTAAGCTGCCTCTTGAAAACGTGTAAGCCAGCCATGTCATGCCTTTATAGCCCACCCATTGAAGGCAGCCAATGTCTAGGTTTCCCATCCCTATCAACCCTGTGTACAGAAAGGTTATATTTGATCTTTGATGTGAATACTCCTTCCCTTTCAGTTGGTATTTTGAGCTACTACATCTATACGGATAAGTCAAGTTTTTCAAACTGTTTCAAATCATGCTTGTTTCCTTTTTCAAATTTCTTTTATTTTCCTCTATTTGAATTCTGATCATCAAGCCATTGAAGCTAGGTCAAATGGGTATTACTTGCAAGTTTGGATGTTCTTGTGTGTCTCTCCTCACTTCATATCAGTTGGATGCTTCACTCTCGGCTCTAGCCCTCTGTGGCAAGGCCCTTGTCCATTGGCTTAGGAGTCCTAAGGTCTCACCACACTTCAGACCAGCCAGCCCTTCCTTTTCTCTCTCTAATCTTCAGGCTGACAGGAGTTTATATGTTCAACATGGTTGAACTCAACCCATATCTTCATTGCTGCCTTTCCCCTTCTCCCACTTATCACCTAGACCCACATGGTGGCCAGCAAGCTTACATCCCTGCTAGTGTGCTCCCTTTGAATATGAAGCTTAAGTAAAGATACCCATACTAAAAGAAAGGGAAAAAAAAATATTTGTTGGCTAACAGAAATTAGAGGGAGGGGATGGAAAAGTACAGGTTAGTGGATAGACACATGATAGTTCAGGTATGGGAGAGGGCAATACACAAGAAGGGGGAAGGATTGGAAGAACAAGGTAGATAGGGGAACACTTAGGCAGGAGTGCATGGGCTAAATGGAACAGAGGTAAATAGGGCTAAATGGGACAGAGGTAAATATTGATGTATGGTCAACCTTGGAAAAAAGGCTTCTGTGATATAGTGATCAAGACATAGTCTGAATGGGTAAAAGAGAGGAAACAATGCAAAGATGCTTGACTGTCCTTTGAATGTTGGTTTCACTCGTATACTCTTTTAAATTAGATGCCTGAGTGGGATGGAAAGGAATATTGGGAAACATGATTACAGAAAACTTGTAAGCCTGTCTTCAGTCTATAACTGATTGGAATACCTAAAAAGAGTTCTAGAACTTCACCAGTGAAATAGGCTTCATGCGGAGGCTTTGTGGTGTATAGGACCTTAGGTTGAATCCTGAGCCCCATTCAGAACCTTCTGAGGTAGGACGTTCCTACTTGAAAGGACATGAAGACCAATCTGGAGTGGCTAGAGGTACAGAAGATATTTCTTGAAAGAAAGACCAGCAGGGAAAACTGAAAACAAAAATGATAGTCTGATTGGCTACTACAAGCAAGTTAATTGCTGGGGAGCCATCAAGGCAAACAATCAAGTACCTTTGTGACAAACCCTCTTCTATGACTGAAACTCAAAGGAATCCACTAATTTTTTTATGTCCCCTCATATATAAAAATAATTTCCCTGGTTTACCCTTAGAGACTCTATGGCCATTTACCTGAGGAGCTGTACACTAAAGGCGGGACAACGCGCCGATCTCTCAAAGGATGTTGGCGAAAGGATCTCAACTAATATCAATAACCAGAAACTCAAATTGTCATTGTGGTCCCCAGTTATAGTGAGGGTCTATGGAAGGCAGACATTTAAAAAAGTTTTGGTCAAAGTTCATCTGTGTGTGCCCTAGTGTGGCGCTGTGAGATAAAACACTGGACCATAAGGTTACTTTGGTCCAATTGCTTCTCAGAAACCCTATATAGGATCACTGTGAGTCAGAACCAACTCGATGGCACTTAACAATAATAACAGTAGGTTATAAAATATTGTCATTGTGGACTGTTGCTGTTTTTAAGTGTTCTCTACTTGGTTCTGACTCACAGTCTTCCATCTTGTGGGAGCAGAAAGCCTCATCTTTTACATGCAAAGCAGCTGGTGGGCTCAAACTGCAGTGCTTGTGGTGTGTAGTCCAGTGTTTGTCCTACAGAGCCATCATGCTCCCATATCCATCTTTGGTGGTGGTTGTATGCTGTCAAGTCGGTTCTGACTCATAGTGATCCTGTATATGGTATCTACTAGAGCAGACAGTCTCTTCTTTCTTCCGTAGAGTGACTGGTAGATTAAAAGCGCTGATATTGGGGTTAGTAGCCTGATGTATTACCCACTACGCTACCAAGGGTTCTTATAGCCTACTCTGTTGTTGTTGCAAAGTGCCAATGAATCATTTCTGACTCACAGTGATCCTCTATAGGGCTTCCAAGGAGCAGCTAGTGAATTTGAACTACTGACCTTGCATTTAACAGTCCAGTGCTGCCAAGCCATATGGGGCACTGCTTGGCTTCCTCTGGATTCAACATGGGGAAAGAAGTTCAAACTCAAAATCAGGCCAAGACCTATTCCTATGAAGTGGAAGTCAGATATGCCTTCACCCTATAACCTTCTTTACCCTATTCTGACATCAACCATCCCTTCCACGGCACTCTCTGCTTCACATCTGGATTCCACAGTCCTTTGCAATGGCTTCACAGAACTCCTAACACTACTCACACTATTGGGGTTTGTTAGCAAAGTGAACAAGGTACAACTCAGAAGCAGAAACAACTCAGGATGAAGCTGTTCTTGAGTCAGAAATGCCTCTTATAGGCCATACTACAAACATGCCTCACTCCTATCTTCAGCCTTTCAACCATGGGGCCTCATGGCCTCTGCCCTGCTCGGCTAGTGTTACCAAGTTCCTTTAGTCAGTCTGTTAATGTCCAAAGGGCACAGTCTACAGGGCAGCCTCCTGCCCTAGGCACTCAGCTCTATTTGACCCATGGGCCTGGATGCCTGCAATTGCTCCACGTCATCACCTTTGCCACAGCCTCTGCTGTTGCCTCTTTTCTAGGTGGGGATCTCACACTCCACTCATCTGCTTCTTTCTTGATGGTCCTGGGATCATCTGTTCCTTGTTCTGAGATGCTCCTTTAAACCTAGAAGGATGTTAAAACTAACCAATTCCAGACTTTAGAGTACTGATTGGGTGGAACTTATTTGCCTGGTTCTACCCAATCACTTGGCAGGAATTAAGAAGATATTGGGTAGAATGACACTATGAAGTAAATTCAAGGTACCACAAGTTCTGATCCTGCAATGCCACTCCAGGACTGCATATCCTACTCTGTTGTCAGTTCTGACTCTTAGAGACCCTGGATGGGTTTCCAAGGAGTGGTTGGTGAGTTTCAACAACCAACCTTTCTGTTAACTGTCTAGTGTTTCTTCTACAACACCACACCAGGACTCCTATCTATTTGTGGTAGTAGTTACCAGTGCCTTTGAGTTGCTTCAAATTCATAGTGACCATGTGCAGGGTTTCCAATGAGTGGCTATAGTTTTGAACTGCCTACCTTATGGTTCAAAGTCCAGGGCGAATCCTGTAGTGATCTTGCAAGTGTCCACCAAAGATGCAACTATTGAAAGCTCCCCATCTGAAGCACAGAGAGGGCAGAAAATCATGGTTATTTTAACTCTCTTTATCCTCTCACCTCAGGACACTGGAGGCAAACATAGACTCAGGAATGCAAGGCAGAGCAAATACACTGAAGCCCTACTTTTCCAGCCAGAAGACAGGAGGTGGGGGAAGGGGT